AACATGTATAGATATAGTCTAGTGGTTAAGCGCTCGCATGCGAGACGAACATGTTCTGGTGTACGGATTTCTCGAGGCAGGGTCGTGGATACGTACAGCTGAGGAGTTCCACAGTAGGACGAGACAGCTATCCGGTGCTTCCAGGTTTTGCATGATGGTCTAGCTTCAATTGACTCATGATCTTAACCATTGAAATTACTATTCAGAGTTGTGATGGAAGCAAATATTTATTTATTCATTTCTTAATGTACTTTGTTTGAATTTCGGTTTGTTTGTAGACGACAATATCGAATGTTCATATAGTTTTAAATGTAAGTTTTCTATAACACAATAAGCAATAGGTTACTTTAACCAAATGACTTTGTTGGTAACAAATTTGTAAAGAAATCACATTGTCGGTGATTCACTGAATAAAAATTGAGTTGACCAAATAGGAGTGATGTTATATGGGTAACGATTTCAATACATCTCATTTGAAAATCAATATAACGAGAAGACTTGTTATTAGAATTGTTGATTCATTTGTAATTCAGTGATGTATATGAGATTGAAATACCGTTATTGGATTTCTAAGTTAAACTATCCAAGTGATTAAGGCAATGAAAAGAACGTTATTTCATAGTTCTATTCTTTTGCTTCATGATATCTAAGCGAGAATTTCGGTTGTATTGAAAAATCAGTGTTAAAATTGTTAAGTGCTTATTTTTTGCGTAGTACATTAGTGAATTAAGAATGCACTTAACTTAAATGACTTACTGAATTAGGCCTGCTAGCCCTCGTGGAGGAGAATGGGTCGCCCATCAGCATTCTCCATAAAACTCTGTTTTGGAGAATCCTCTTCAATTGTGTCCAGTCGCTATTCATCCTTCTGGTGTCTTTCCAATCCTCAGCGTAGTGTGTTCTTTAGTCTTTCTCTTTTCCATTTCCCTTCAGCATTCCAAGTTAGTGCTTGACTCGTGATGCAGTTTGATGATTTCCTCAATATATGTCCTATTCACCTCCAGTGTCTTTTCCCGATTTCTTCTTCAGGTAGGTGGAAATCGAGTTTGTTCTCTCCCACAATAGGTTATTGGTGATGGTATCCAGTGAACGGATCTGGAATATGTTGTGTAGACATATGTCTATAAATACCTGTATCTTTCTGATGATGGATGTGGTAGGTGAGCGATTTCACATCCATACAATAGAACTGTTTTGATGTTTGTGTTGAAAATTGTGACTTGATTGTTGGTTGAGGGTTTTTTAGATATTAAGCAGGCTTGTCTGACACCACTCTTTACTTGTTATGCACATGTCAGTTGCCCTTTATGCATGACGTCACAGTGTAATCTGTGGTAAGAATGTTGTACGATGTTGACGGCTTTCTCGGGTACTCCATGATCTCGAACATTGTTCCATGAGTTTCTTCTTTCCATACTGCCAAATACTTTCTCATGTTCGAGGAAGTTGATGTATAGTGACGAATTCCATCCAATTTATTACTCAACGAAGATCCGTAGTATCGCTTTTTGTCTGTGCACAACTGATCCTTACGTAGTTCAAACAGTTAATCTCGAAGTTGGTTGTCTGCTGAGTCATTCATCGTGTTCAGTAACCCTGTTGATTCCTCTATAGTTCACACATTCGCACAGATTATGTATTTTCGGTATCTCGATGAGATGTTCTTCTTTCCATTCTGTCTGTGCACTTGTACTCCATCCGGAATCTTCCTGAATAGAGTATGGAACATGTTAGCATTTGCTTCTATGAGTGACTTCAATGCTTCAGTTAGTCTATTGTCAGATCTTACTGCTTTCTTCACTGCTCATGTGCCTGATGACCATCTTAGTTTGTTCGGTCGTTGGTGGAGTGACATCTATGGGAATGTCTGTGTGTGTGCACTTGTGGGTGAATATTGTACCGCCTATAACTAATTTGTTGAATGCACATATGTTCTCAAATCTCTCCCCATTTTCGTTTCCTTCTCCTAGTCCATGTCGTCCCATGATATTTTCATATCCGGCATTGTCCATTCCGAATTTAGTGTTTATGTCTCCTATTGAGATGGTCAGATCCTTTGCTGGGCTCTTTACTGTGATCGATTGCAGCCTCTCATAAAACAGATCTTTATTGTCGTCATTGCTATCATTGTTGGTTGCAACACATTGGATAACATTCATTATGATATCCTTCTTCTTTGTTTTGAAGGATGCTTTGATGATGCGATGCCCATACGTGCATCTTCGTGTTACTTTAGACAGCACCATATCAGCATTCTGTTCTTCGTAACCAGAGTACAGCTTCATCTCTTCTCAATCTATCCTTTTCTATACAGCTTGAGTTCAACGTGTTTTGCTAATTCGGAGTGTTATCAAGTTGTATCTGTTCAATTTTGTAGCTATTCGGTTGGCTTTCCCGTTCTCCCACATTGTCCGGACATTCCAATAAACCTATAACAGTTGTTGCTCTGGTTGCTAGAAGCAACATTGATTTGGTGACTTTCGAAAAATCTTGAATTTCACCATGAGACGTCATAGTTGTCTGAATGAAGATCGTTTGACTCCCAGGACAGAGTTTAAATGGTTTAATTTGTTTATTCTGGTTAGCGTTTTTAGCAATGTTGTTTTCAACGGGATGTGTTTGCTGACCCCATGCTCCACCCATTTCCTTTACCTGTGCTTGAGACTGCTAGTAACCCTAGGAGAGCTACAAGCAGATTGTGTGTTAAAGTGTTTGATGTGACTCAATACGTGGTCAACAGAGTTTAGTGAATCTATATGATATTCCCTCTTTATAACTCTTCTTTTGAAAATCAACCCTCAGTTTCTTAAGTTTGCACACAGTAATGTGGTGAAGCGTTGGATTATAACTAATGTCGTTTTGTGATGGAAATTCCAACTCGAATCTCTCGCTTTGCTCAAACTGTCTAGTCCTAGCGATTTTACATTATTACCGATGTAATTTGTGGACGGAATGTCTAATTCAGTGTACTATCCTGACTTCTAATGTGCAAACTTAACATTTCTCCTTTACTAAAAAGCATAATTTGGCATGTTGGAGCTAATTATTCAACTAAACTCTTTATTTCCACTGTCTTTTTATTGCTTATTAGTTTGTGACTACACAGCGTTTCCCGATTGACTGATAATCCCCCTAATGTCATCAGTATATTATACTTTTTAAAACACGAATTTCAACGAAGAGATCTCTTATCAACGAATTTATGATCAACCTGTACAATCGTATATATATGAAAGTAATAGTTCCATCAAGACATGTGAACAAGGGATAACGAAGATGATGTGAGAGAAAGATTATTATACTAGGTTACGTAATACGATTAATATCAGTAGACTTAATGAGTTAGTAACGAATTATAACGTGAATGTAGGACGATGAGTAAAATGGACGGTGGCTCAATTTTGTGGATTGGTTGAAGTTAGACATTAACACCATTGGATACCGGCTCAGTGGTTTAGAGGTTAAGGGTTCGCGCGAGAGACTGATAGGTCTTGGATTCAAATCTCGGGAGGCATGACCGTGGCTGCGCACTGCTGAGGAGTCCCACAATAGGACCAAACGACCATTCAGTGCTTCCAGGTTTTCGATGCTGGTCTAATATCAACCAGTTCATGATCTCAATCTAAAATGTCTGTGTTACACTATTTAAAGGTCATAATGATGTAAATAATGAGAATATGAGACATTAAGTAAAACAACAAATACAATAATCATAATTATAATAAAGGTCAAAGTAATAATAACGATAAGACGTACTTATGTCTTATATTTTCATTATTTATAATTGCTCATGAATATCATCATTATGACCTTTCATATCCACTAGTTAATGGAACAAAACCATTTTAATCATCTTCATACATTCACATGTGATAATTCGTTACTAACTCATTAAGTCTATTAGTTAGTGTTATAATTCGTATTACATAATCTAATAGTATTATAATCATTCTATTACATCATCTTGATTATTCCTTGTATCACATTTCCTTACGGAATTAATACTTTCATTGTACAGGTTGATATTGAATTCATTGATAAGAGATTCCTTCGATGAACTTCATCTTTAGTGGTTCAGTGAATAATAAGTGAGCTCGAGATTACTTACTTACTTACGCCTGTTACTCCTCGTAAAGGAGCATAGGCCGCTCACCAACATTCTCCATCCAACCCTGTCCTGGGCAATCCTTTCCAGCTCCGTCCAGTTTGAGCTCGAGATGATGGAGATAATTTGTAGCTCAGGTGGATGATGTTGGTTGAATGGTTTGGTCACGACCAAACCATGCAGCTCAGAGAACAAAACTCCACCGAAATAGGTGAGTTCGTAAATGTTAAATATACATATAAAGATTTACACTCATGACTTTTCATATGGATATGGGGATAATGATTTTGCTTTACAGCTTCATATCCTTAACACTTCAGTAAACTTACTGGTTAAGATATTGTAGCCGGTGATGATTTTACTGTTAAAATACTTTATGGATATGACAATGATCTAGAAACGAATTCTCTGTTGTGAATATTATTCACACTCAGATAATAAATGAAGTTTTGTGTAGAGATAAGTAAACCGATAATCAGTCTTAGAAAATTAATAAACTTTCTCAAAACCAATAAACTTCATCAGATTTCAGGGATTGTGTTGATCAGTCAATAGATGGCTTTGAAACTATCCGGTGATTTTTTTGAAATTATTTGGCTCATTCATATGCTACAGTTTAGACTGCTTATCCACCACCTCCGAGTAACTATCCAATTACCACCTTCTATAATTAATGTATTTCAGCTCAAATCACTCGAATGACCTTCTCTCCATGAAGCCAATCAGAATGATGCATATTGTCAGCTGACTAACTGTTTGAAAGTGAGCTTTTAGCAGTGCAACATGCTGATTGGTGGTTATTTAGTGAATTCGATTGAATACAGTTGGTGTTATTAATTGGCACTAGGAAAGGGATTTAATTTGGTTGAGTTGCCCTGGTGATTTGTAATTCTGTAAGTCTAAGGAATATTTCGTTGTTCAGCACACTAGACATTTAATTCCTTGATTATTTTATATGAGCGTATGTGTGTTAATTGCTTACTCTATTGATTATGTGTCTGTAGTTTATTTTTGTCTGACTATGAGTATTGTAAAATACTTAATCAAATCGAGTTGTGTCACTCACCTACTCCTCTCCACTTCACTTTCCCACTTCTTATTCTGAATGTCTGTCTGGACTAACAAGTACTTGAAATAAACTCCTCTAATGTAACCCACCGCCATCACATGAACAGGGTTAGCCTAGGTAACCCTCATAGTTAAATGTCAGATTTATGTTCATCAACGGGGCACATTAGATATACATTAAGTTTCTAGTTTGCTAGCGATATATCCTACTTCTTATGTGATGTCTTGTAGAGATATTAGTTGCTCTCTCAAATGAAACCCTGTCACATTAATAAAAGTAGTAAAAGATTTTCCGTTGGAACTCATTACATTCAGTTTATTAACTTTAGAAATATGGCGATAATCATAAATAGTGTTGAGTGAATCAGTGTGCAGTTACTGAGTAATCTTTTTGAAGCTAAACTATGATTTATGAACAAACCGATCACATTTAGGATAATTGGTCTTGAATTTTAGAGTGAAATTCATTCATCTATTTGGTCAATGAACGTTAGGGTTAGGTTAGGTGATGTTAGTTCGAGATGACCCCATCCCACATAAATCTAATTCTTAACCCTAACCATCAACTAGAAATCATGATCCTTATTCCTCACACATGTTCATAACTCTCATTTACCCCCAGTAAGTAGGTAAACATTCTGAAGTCGTTGATCATCCTTTTTAATATGGGAACTATACTTTTAGGACAAAAAAAGTAGATATTCACAGTGTATAAACAATCTCAATCTCTCTCGTTTGGGGAGATATTGGGGGATTTCCTCAGGTCTGAGAACATTTAGGGGTCTTGGTGCTATTTCTCCAAAGTTTACTATAGCGGCTTCCCCCAGAATTGGGAGTTCGGGATACGTTGCTTCGGTGGAATTATATGCATCATTCTCAATCATTTCAAATATTGACGTGTTATTCTTTAAATTACTGAATTCACACATCCATCAGTTTGTCCAATGGGTCTGATGTAATTTGTAGAAGATTTTTATTAATACATTGTTGATATATAGAGGGCTACAATATCAAGGCGTCTACTAGAGAGACTCATTCAATCCAATTCTGAATAGAAGCAATACAGATCATTCTAAAACGCTTAGCAGCGGTGATCGATAACAGATCCGTCCTGTTTTACAGTTCTTCTCTCTATTCAAATCAATTTAGTGTTGTGATATGTATCATTTTGTTTATCTTTTCTTCTTTTCGAGGTGTTTACAATGATATCAACCAAAGAAATCAATAAACATGATGCTCAACGAGAGTGTAACCAACAATTTGAGATTAATGCTAATAATAATTTAATGGTAAGATTTTGTTTACAGTGTCATATTATCATATTTCTGATTATGTTTTTTATGTGACATTGACTTAATTAACTGAAGACAATGTTCTGGAAAGAGGATAGTTCTTTTGAAGTTTCCATATTATGAAAATCTTCCTATAAACTTCATCTGCATATCCTATTCATCTCTACATTACCACAACGTATATGTTTTTTCCGATTTAACTCACCATTCCATCTCCGCACATGTATGCAGCGAATTCCATACTCACCACACATGGATTATAACTTAATGAAGTACCAGCGCATTTTGGGGTCGTCTAATTCTGCTGGCGTTGGTGTCGCACTACGAGCCAAAGTTGATACAGCACTAATCGATTAGATCCACATTAACAGCCGTTTATGTGCTGTTAGATAAGAAAACTCCATCGAAATGAGAAGAAACCGGTGTGAGAAACAATGTCTTACGGCTTATGCCAATCTGGGCCATCTTTGATGCCTTCGTGATGTTAGTCTAAATGTGAAAGTTAAGATTTATGATGCGTCGGAGACATGTAGTGTTTGCTCCATGTATGTGAAACCTCTCCTCTCTGAGCTGAAGATGTTAAACGACTCTGTGTTTAATCATTGTTGTTTCCGACGGACTTCTTAAATTCAGTGGCAATACCATAACTGTAATGCAAAAGTCCGGCAACAGGTGTTCGGGTGCAGCGACAAAAATTCGATTGGAACACCAAATATGGTGACTTGGGCATATCCTTTGAATGTCGTCCCAGTCATTTTGAAATCGTGCATTATTTTGAGACGCGGGACTAATTGAAGAAAGTAGAGAGGTGTTTAGTGCATGAGATCGTGACGCAGTATGAACAGAACTGGAATTTGCTGGCTCTTCATGATTCCATGATTGACGTCCTAATGATAGTGCAACGCAGTAGGTTGGGAGGTTATCAGACGTGGCTCAGAATACAAGCCAGTGGCAATCCTGCTGGTGTTGGTTCCTTCTTGTACCAATGTTTATGCGTTTATATAAGTAAACCAATATTCGTAGCAAACCTAAATTAGAATGTCAGAGTGGATCATGATAAACAGTGTTGGTAGACATGAGATCTGAAATTCACAAATTGACCAACTCAAGTTTATTTAGTGTTATAATCGGATATCTTGTGTTGTATTCATAAGTGCACCATCTAAACACAAAGGCTCATTACATCCAGTTAGGGGTCAGACTATGTTATTTCGTCGAGATAATTAATTCTAAACATGCAGCTTGTCCAATTTAATTTTTTCTGGTTAGCGTTTTCTGTAGCGAGTTGGTTTTCTACGGGATAGGGTCGCTAACCCCATGCCCAACCCTCTTCCTTTATCCGGTCTCGGGACCGGCAGTAGCCCACGGAGGGACTCCAGGCGGAGTTTCTTGTTCAATTTACTAGATGTTTATTAAATTTCATGAAGAACAGATTTGTTGATTTAAAACAATCAGTCCATTTGATAAACTTCGATAATGGAATGAGAAGACCAAGTTTATCAAAACTATGCGATGATATATTAGCTCAATACATTTCGAACAATCGGATCATACATGTTATTACTAGTTAAGACATTTTTCTATGAAACATAAAAGGTCAACTAGACAGGGTAAACGTACAAATAAATTGCAATGATCAATTTAGATTACAGGATAGACAGACATCATCCTTCATTGTGAAACATTTGATTGACACTGATCATAAAGTTGACATGAAATCAGCATTTGTAGTGTTATACAAAAGCTTTCAAGGACGTGTACTAAGGTTTGTTGAAGCCTTGGTTATACGGAAATTGAAACCCCCTTTAGGTTGTTCAAGAACAATTTGTGCTTAGCATTAACCTACCCTGGTAATACTGATTTATTATCCAGAGTGATGTACTTTATTATCTTATTTTACTTTGTTACGATTTACCTTTAGTCTGTCTAGTTGACCTTTTATTTTTCATGTATAAATTCTCTTACCCAGTATATTATGTGTGATCAGATTGTTCGAAATGTATTGTGCAGATATATCACACATAATTCGAATAAACTTCGTCTTCTTATTGGATTATCGAGATTTGTAACTGCTATATAAGTATATAAATATTTGGACGGAGAGAAATCATTTTAGAAATATACTTGTACTGAATGGTTTAGTCGTGGAGCTGACATCCTTCTTCTGAACGACATCATCAGCACAAACTTCACATGAACAATAAAAGCTCCACGATCAAATCATCCAGCTCAGAAAATAAAACTCCATGAAAATCATCTACCTGCGCCACAAATCTTCTCTACCATCTCAAAATCATTTGAGTGTAGTACGCTTCTCGTTGTTCGAAAATAGGAGAATTTCGTTAAAAGGCAGTCTTCCACTCGAAAACAAATGTATTTTCTCCACGAGTGTCTTTGCCAGCATGTTCTGCCATTAAGTGTGAGATACAGACCTCTAATAAACTGCCCAATGGGATGGAGAATAGCTGAGCAAAGTGAAAGAAAAATGGTACACCTAATGATAACTGACGCACACTACAGGATCCACAAATACCAACATATCATAGAGGACCAAAAAGCAAGCTATAAAAGATACTCACGTCAGAACATTTGGAAATATTGACAACAGCCATCAAGGTACCATGCAAACTACACAGAGAACAAAGAAGAAACTTATCAAGATCTCAGAACCGCCCACTAGAGTTATCACTAAAAAATGCGGGAATAAGTGAAGAAACACAACAGAAAACAAGATAAACTATGGTACCAAACTTCTACCTGAAGTTTGTGTTGATGATGTCGTTCAGAAGAACAATGAAAATTTTATGACCAAACCATTCAGTTCAAAGAATAAAACTGCATCAAAATCACCTATCTGAGCTACAAATCTTCTCCACTCTCTCAATATACTTGTCCATTTGATTGAATAAGTACTTTTTCATTCTCATTTCAGTTTCACTCAATTTAACATGTACACTCTATACTCATTATTTATGATCTCTATTGAATTACAGTTGAATGGTGTCATGCATAGTAAACAATACAATATGATGAAACATAAACCAAATGAAAATGCATTACATCAAATTGAAACTATTCCATCATTGATAGATGATATCACTAATGGATTAGAACAATTCGAACTCATTCCATCTTATTTTTGTCTTGATTATGAAGATGAAATTTATTATAGTGAAATTGATTACAAACTAGATAGTTGATGACGACGATGGTGATGATGATGATGATGACGACGATGATGATGATGATGATGGTGATGTAATAGATGAATAAAAACCAAAAAACAACTATTATTGATTTTTTTCCTGTAAATTGTTTAATAAAATTATCCTCATTATTTGTTCTTGGTGTTGTTTTATTTGTATCTTCTTCCCATTGATGTTTAGAACTGCAATTGATCAGTTTCATGTTGGCATATGTGCATCCTGTACGGACGACCTCAATAGTACCTTAAGGCACAAGTATTATAACACAAAGATGGATTGCGGCTAGTAGTGAAATCCAGGACGCACGAAACTTCGTCCTATTTGTGACTCGTCAGCCGGATGTACATCTCGTTATCCACTTAGCTACTGGAATTTGAACCGAGCGCTACTGGGTTCGAGTCCTAGAGTGAACATTCAGCCGACGAGTCCCAAATAGGACGAAACGTGTGTCCTGGATTCCACTGCTTGCTACTATCCATCTTTGCTTAAAAAGCTTGTGATTATTCGTTCTTGTTTTCATGATATTTATAGGAATTTATTTAAAATTTTTAGTACGAAGTAAATGAATATGGATAGTGTGATAGAGTATTTATTGTACCTTCTATCTGAAGTTTGTGCTGATGATGTCGTTCAGAAGAACGATGAAAGCTCCACGACCAAACCATCCAGCTCAGAGAACAAAACACCACCAAAAACCTTCTGTTAAACTTTTGCGTATAAATAACACTTTAATGGAGAAAGTTTAATCAGCGATATGATCTAATGTTGGCTGCTGTTCAATGATTCACTAGTGGATATAAGTAACGTTGTAAGAATATAGTTTCAGTCCTGTTATAACTGAGGGTGCACACTAATTGAAACTCGTCTGGAGTATATCTTCAAATTAATACTTTCTTTGTTTCACATAGCACTTCAGTTTTAATAATTATTCAAAATAACCATGAACATAAATGGACGCGTTCACTGAAATCTCATCACTATGTAGGGCCAGTGAAATGTCAGTGAGCCAAATCATCTAGCAGTTGGGTGACTGAATGTCGAACAGATCATCGATCTGTGTCAAAGTCAACGACAACCAACGCGAATCAGTAAATTGTATGCAATGGACAGGACCATGAGGTGGTGGTCTCATTATCTTCTCTGTACTCATTCTTACTGATATATTTCGGATCTGAAGTACGCTGTATGAAACTGTATTGTGTTATCAAACAAACAAATAGTCTTAGTCCAGTCTCTGACCAAGAGTTCTAACGTTTTGAATCTACTGTTCTCAATAACTGCAATCAGTATATTAGCACAAAAGTAGTAGGTAAAAGTTTTCTCACGGAACAACATAGAAATCAATTAAAACTACTTAGAAACAATAAAGACTTAATTATAAGACGTTCAGATAAGGGTGCGGGTTTAGGGCTGCTAGATCGCAAGATTTATGTTGAAAAAATGACAATGTTATTATCAGACGGCACCAAATTCTCAAAACCAATCAATGAGAAAAGCAAGACAGAAATTATAGAAAAGTAACTGATTGAAGTTCTTAAGAGAATGAAAAATGATCAGTCAATCGACGAACATGTCTTTGAGTGTATAAAACCAACAGGATCAATAATACCGCGATGATATGATCTGCTGAAAGTACACAAACCTGACCTATCTCTCAGACCAATTCTTGATATGTCCGGATCCCTTTATCTTTTTATAGAAAAGTGGCTGGCAAATTTCCTAGAACCCGTTAGAAAACTCATTTGTCGATATTCGTTACATGATTATTTTGAATTTATCGAGCACATAAAAGAAGTGAATGTAAGTGACAAAATCATGCTATCTCTGAATGTCGAATCATTACTCACTAATGTCCCACTCATAGAGACCATTAGTTTTATCTGCAAGTACATAAATAATAATGAGACTAACATCAGAATACCGAAAACGTATTTAAAGGAACTACTACTACATTGCACTTGCAATGTACAATTTACATTCAACGACGTAATTCATAGACAGAAGGATGGCATAGCAATGGGATTCTCTCTTGGTCCATTGCTTCATGGTCAGTTTAGAAAACAATCAACTTGAAACGATTATAGGAAACTTCCACTTGTATAAAAGGTACGTAGATGACATCTTTATCATTTGTGACAACAAATATGACTTGAGTCATCTTCTAAAGACATTTAATAATTGTCACCCAGCAAAGAAATCCATACTTGAATTTGAAAAGAAACAAAATATTCACTTTCTTGATATGAAAGTGACAAGAAAACAAGATGGAACTCTAAGAGAATCTATCTACAGGAAACCCATGTGGAATGGTCAACTATCAAGCTTCCACAACTGGGTCCCCATTAGTCGTAAAAGAAACTTAATAATATCACTCGCTACAAAAATATGAAAAATTTGTAGTCCCGAGGTGATAGATGAAGAACTGGACCTCTTGAAGGAGATACTTATTAGAAACGGATATCTTTCCGTATCCATTTATAAAACATAAAACCGAAACCGCCTAAAACACAAATAATTTCAGCAGAAAAAAAAACATTATACATGAACATCGACATTTATGGGTGACAGGGCCACATACATCTTAAACAGGAGAATTTCTTATTCGTTAAAAAGAACATTTTTCGCAGCAACGTTGTGAATATTATTCTTCAGCCGATCATTTGTCACTAATAATCTTAAAGATAAATTATCGCATCTGACCAACTCAATGTGCATTTATCAATTTACCTGCCCATGTGGAGTCAAGTATATAAATCGTTCGATGCGTAATTTATCCAAAAGAATTCAAGAACATTATCCAGCGTGGCTAAGAAGAGGAAGAAACGGTTCAATAAGAAGTCCAGTAATCGAACACCTTGTGAACACAGGTCACTCAATCAAGTTAGACTCTGCGTTCCAAGTCATCTACAAGGTAAGTAGAAGTCTTCCAATGACAATTAGATTGCATCTTCATTGCATCGCCGAACCAATAACCATACATCTGGAAATACCAGAATTGTGTGTGCAAATGAAATTGGTACAACCAATTGTTCTACCATGGTCTCAATGTCTTAGAATTTTTCTTTATTAAACTTTCCTTTATACTCTTCCTCCTTTACAGCCATCTGCTTCACCTCCCATCTTCCCCTTGAATCTTCTACCCTCAACTGGTTTATTTCTGTTTCTACAATCTTCCTCATTACATTTTATCTTATCATGCTAAGCTATCCTTTCCCAAGTATAATTTCCCTATCTTTTTAATACCTATGTTTATTTAACCTCATTGTCACCATGTATAACAGAAGTTTCTTATCATTATTATTATAACCCTGAGAAAAAAACATAAGTATATATATTATGGCTAGCAGTGGAATCCAGCTTGGCGCGCGTTTCGTCCTATTTGTGACTTGTCAGCTGGGTGTACCTGCATCTCAGACTCGTTGATGTTCACTCAGGGACTCGTGCATCCTGGATTCCACAGCTGGCCACTATCCATCTTTGCTTATAATCCTTGTAAGTTAAGGCTATATCAAGGCAATACGCACAGTATGCCCATATGCCAATGAGAGACTGATTAACTACACTCCTAAACATTAATCGGAAGATTCAAACAAACCATACCGAGTATATATATTTGCGATTGTACACCTTTGAAAATAAATTCGTTGAAAAGAGAATTCTTCGCTGAACTAATCTTTCTTATTTAATAACAAATTTGAACATAACAAATAACATTAATTTCAATGGTTGAGACCATGAGTCTGAAGATGCCACAGGTGTTTGGAGTTTGACAACGCTTTAACCAGTAACACTTTCTAATATGCATCATACCCACCAAGTGAAATCAAAAGACAGAAGCCCGGAGGTTCGGAGATATATTTGACAGGCTATCAATAAATCGAGGATCGTCTGATCTGACCTGGCTAGCGATTGCGTTCCCACTCGTGACCTTGTGCGGATGCATGACCGAGTGCCTTCAGCCAGGTGAGTCCATTAAAACTAATGTGATTAGTATACAATGTCGAAAACTTACAGAGCTATTCATTTTGGGGATTTATTTACCGCTACTACTCAATTGAAGCTAGACCGCCATGGAAAACGCGGAAGCACTGGACGGCCGTTTCGTCCTGGTGTGGGTCGCCTCAGCGGTGCTCATCCACGATCCATGGTGGTCTAGTTTTAATTGACTCATGATCTCAACAGTTGGAATTAACTATAATATCCAGAAAAACCTTTCTGATATAATATTTCATTGTGCAGTAAACGTATCAGTTATTCACTACACACGTGACACATTGATTGTCTGTCTATATATCTGTAATGTAATTTTGATTGATTTGCAATTCTGTTGAATCTCAGCTGTTCAACATTCTGATTTTCAATTTCTTCATCTATCTGAAGTTCAGAATTATCTATAGAATTAAGATTAGTTATAGAATCATCAGAATTAAAATAGAAATCACTTACTTCATTAATCTTCATTTGGTCTATCTGTCTTCTGTGAACTAAATGGTTATACAAATCAAGAATCTTTACCATCCGAATATCCATTCTCTGAATTATTATCTCCATAGATGGTTGATAGTTATTTCTTCGGTAAAACTGCACTTCTGATGATGTTTTGTTCATTAAATGAGTTTAAAGTATGAGAGATCTATAAAGATTAGCTGGACTTTTGTAAATTCTTGAATGTTCTACACTAAGATAGTGAAGCGAGAAACCGTCAATGTATTTTTATATCTCGGATAGATTGCATGGACTTATTAATGTTTGAATGAAATTTTCTGCTAAACTACCAGACTAAGGACTTCATGAAGCTGTAAATAGATGACGGTATCTAATATCGTCAAGATAGCTGATAAAATCTTTTTCAGTGAAATGAATATCTCTTCATGATTAAGCATGTTCCTCATTGCTCAATGAGTAAAGTTCTCGCTAGGACTGTTCATGAGTACCGCTCCTGACCATTTCGAATTTAAGTTAATAATAACTAAAGTATGATACGAATATAAAAAAGTGAGTCACAGTAATTCTCATGAATACGTTGTCACTATTCATAAGATTCAGGTGAAGGATTCCAAGTAGTCCTGCAGTATGATAATGTATACAAAACAAGCAGTACAGTTTTTTTTTTCAATTTTCAACTTCTAT